GTATATAATAGGAACCTCATAGTTAATAACAATAACAACTGCAATGATATTGCCTCAATGCCTACCCACACAAGATTGCTTATATTTCTTACCTCTAAAATCTAAGGGTGAAAGGTCACACTCTTTCTTTAATGGAAACATTTCCTTCGTATAATTAGAGGGACACTGACAACATGATGGAAAAGACTCGCAGCCTGGATTGCAACACAACTGACTTCTGGGATCAGTTGCTTGTAGAATAGATTTTGCGAAGTCTACTTTATATGATTCCAGCAATAAAGTCATCTCAAGAAGTATCTGTTTTGATTCGGGTAAACCGTTCCGATTGTTGCGCTCTTCGGGGTCTAAAAGGAGATCGTAGAGGAGAGGTGGATCATAAAAAGTCATTTCACAGTATTCGTCTGATAGGCCTAGATACTTGCATGATTTACCACAGTTTGTAACAAAATGAGCTTTATATCGTTTGTTCCGAACAGCGTACGGTCCTATGGCTGGGTCAGGATAGTCAGGGTAATACAGCATTGAAGACCTAGGAGACTGCAAAAATACATATTTATGGCGTCAGTAGAGAAATTACTTGCGTTAATGAAGACACAGCTATGGTCTAGTTCATACAATTAGGCATTTCTTTCGTCTAATAATCATAAATGTTATAATTAGGCCTTCAATTAAAGAATGCTAAGAAACAGTGGGAACTGGATTTGTTTTATAAAATAAAGTATACTTGCAAAATCTACTCTACAAGCAACTGATTCTAGCAGTAAAAATTGAAATCAACGGTGTAAGCCTTTTGCATCGTCAGTGTCTTTCTAATTATACGAAGGAAATATTTTTAATAAAGAGAGATGACCTTTCAGCTTTAATAGTGAATTCTTTCGTATTTAACTGAAAACTAAATCTTTCTTACCTCTTCGTTTTTGAAAAGTGTGTTAGAGAAATCAAATCCGTCCAGAATGACGTCAAAATCATCTGGTGCGGAACCACTTAAACTTCTGAGTGTTGGCCAGATGTCCAGATGGCTCAAGAACTCTGTTGAGATTCCACTTGGGATTCGACCTTTCCAATAAGCTATAGTTGGAACGCGAGTCCCACCTTCAAACGTCGAATGTTTGCCACATTTCATCGCACCAGAAAACCCACCGAGTTCTAAATATGGTAATGCTGGTCTAAAAATATAAAACATAACAATTAAACTTCTATTTCACATTTTTTATTAACGGCTTTTTACGCGCACTATCAAATATTTTGTGTTCTCAATGACATGCTAAATTGCATACGGTAGTCCTAAGATGAGGCACAGCTTAAATAAATTAAAGTGTTGCCTATTTCAAGAACTCATGATTATCTCACGGTCCCAAAGCTTTGTTCAGATTATCAAATTTTCTTGAACAAACAACTGGTGTGTCCCCTATATTATGTGCCTATAAATATATGGTCATGATGTGATGTCATCATGGTCATATTAAAGCATACCTCTTTAGGAAGAGCCGCATTAAAAATTCCTGTACCAATACCAATACCGTATCACATGTTTTTGTCAAATAAAATTTCATAGTCTGAACAGGGCTTAAAGCCTTACCCAAAAGCTGCTTCAACCTTTTTTAAAACTAAATTTTAACAAGTACCAGAATATACGAAAGAAAACCGTTTTTCCAACTGTACTTTAATATTATATGTTGAAGCTTGCGGTACGGTACACCACGTAATTAGTTCTGAAAAGAACTGTTGTAGTTGAGAAAGTCTCGACGTTTCGATTGAGATGCTCCAATCTTCTTCAGGAGAATAATATCTGCAGACACTCCAAACAGGGAAATACTTATATGACATACAGTATATTATTTCTTCGCCATGCAAACCTTTAAGCAATACTTTAATATTGTTATTTCTATTTGAAGTATATATTCATAGTATTTTGTAAAGCTTCTCTTTTATATTGTTTTCTTAATCAAGCCTTCATACGGTATTATGCTGATAGATAGCATCAAATTATAAAGTCTTACCCATTATCAGAAGTAAAAATGACTAAAGTATTGTCTATTGCTCCATTGTTCTTCAGTTCCTCCATCACCTCTCCCACCTGCCAGTCAAGTTCCGCCAAAGAGTCTGTGTAATCGCCACCAAGAGTTGAATTCCGAGAAAGTTTACCCGCAAAATGAGGAATATGAGGATGAAGGAAGGAATAGAGGAGGAAGAATGGAGTTCTTGTACACGCTTTTTCCTGAATAAAGCTTCTGGCTGCCCTAGCTTGCCTAGCAGCTATATCTAATAAATTAAGAGGCTGTTCAATTATGACGTCATTTAACATCAACTGGCATGGTGCAACATCGTTTCTACAATGATCTGCATTACATTCGTCGTGTGGGTAGAAGCACTTACTGATACAAGGGCAATCCATATGTGAATTCGGAATCCCGAAGAAGAAGTCAAAACCGTGCTGAGTCGGAAGAAACTGCCTTTCGCGTCCAACGCCCAGTTGCCATTTACCAATAAGTGCGGATTTGTAGTCCTGCTTGGCAAGCATCTCTGGGATTGTGATTTCCTTATGCGGTAGTCCGTCCGTCATTACCTGCATGAAAATGGAACCGGATCCAGGATAACTGTTCCAAACTCCAGAGCGGACTGGATAACGTCCAGTAAGGAGACCAGCTCTAACAAAAATAATAAACATAATGATAATGTAGAAATAAAAATAAACAGGTATCGGACTACAATAATTAGTATCTAGTATTATATCACTATAAGAATACAGTTTCGTTTTTGAATCACAGTCGAGTTTATATGTAATCTCTGACCGCGTGAGAATTTTTGCTATTCAGGATTACTTTAGATACTATAAAGTATACAAAATGTTTAAATAATCTAATTCGTAGTTTAAAATACATATGCCCGTATCATGGACAATCGACATAAACATCATACAATGCACACAACATAGGTTTATTTCGATTACCCAAAGATACTAGAAATACAAGATAGAGTTCTCGCATTGTAAAAATGAGGCGGAAGTCGTGCCCAACGTAGGCGGCGCCCTTCCTTTTAACCATGCAAGTTTCCTATACTTCGTGCCCAACGTACAGGGCGCCCTTC